CTGCAGTTGGACCTCATCCAAATCCTGACTTAACCCCCATGACTCCATGCTTAATTAAGAATAACATGGGTGAGTCACTTCCACTTGCAGGAGTGGATGTTTGGGGGAGGAAGAGATGACCACATTTCACCTACATGCTGAAGACACCCAAATCTGTCTCCTAGGTTCCAGGACCTTCTTACCATCTGCCTATCTACTGACAAATTCTTCCTGCATTTCTCACAGGCATCCCAACTCAATTTCTCTAAAATCAGTCACTTCATAGCATATGCCTTTTTTTTTTCCCCAAGAGTGTTTTGCCTTAAGGCACATGTGCTCCCCGGAGAGATAGAGGGGAAAAGTGATAGAGAGATAGAAGGTGAAAGTGATAAATCATAGGGGTGGGGGTGGGGGTAGGGGGGTGGCCATCTACAACCCCTTCTCCTGCACTCCTCTTGCTGGGATTTCCAGTATGCATGCACATGTGCCTGGTGTAATTTTCAAGCCACTGGGCTTGAGACTTGAGCCATGACTGGCCATGTAGGCAACATAAGTGCTATGCCTCCTGCTGGTCCCCACATATGCCTTTCTACAATCCCTATTAGTAGCTACCTAGTTGTCTAAGCTAAAATCTCAGCATCATCTGAAAGCTTCGCCCTTTACTTCAATCCCACTATTCACATCCTCTCAACTCTGTCCTAATACAACCACCAGCCTTAATCCCATTCTAACCTTCTGTTGCCGGAGTCATACTGCAATTAACTTCCTAGCTGGTCTCCCCTCCATATCTCCTCTTCATGCCTCTCTAATCCCTCCTTCACTCTGAAACAAAAGACTGCATCCTTCCCCTTTTTAATACTTCTAATTATTGCTGCTCTTCACAGAACAAAGTATGGGACACGTGGTGCCCAAAATCATGGCCCAAATCAGAGGAACCCTGAAAGAGCCATATAGATCAGCACTTGCCGATAAAAAAGGAACTCTGAACACAAAGCAGACAATAACCACTCAAAAACCCCCTCCAGCCTGGGCAGGAAGGTTAATGGGCTGCAGTAAGCTTCAGGTAACTATCTGCCTTCTGAACCAGGCCAGGGTGAAACCAGCCTGGTTCAGAGGGAGCTTGGAACAAGGACCTAAGCAACTCACCTCCCCCACACCCTGACCACCCACCAACACCATTCCCAGCAAGACACTACCCCCTAGAGGGCCAAGTAACAAAGCACTAAGGTAGGCAACTCTTCAGGGGCCCATAGGAATCCAGGCCAAAGTGGCCCAGCCAGATTCCTCCTCTGTCCCAAGAACACAGCCTGCTAGCACACCTAGGAGAGGCTGGGACATCTGGTGAGTCAAATGGGACTCCCTCACACCAGAAAGTTAAGAAATCTCCCCCAAGATATTACGCCATTGATTACAGGCTTGTCAATTTATTTTCCTAGACAGCTCTGATAAAATCATGTGACCCAGACCAGCTTCTCTCTGCCAGGAACTTTAGGGACATCAAGTGTCTGCATCAGGCTGGGCAGTGGAGTCCTGGAGACCTTTCCCAATTCTGCCCATTGGCCACCCCCTGCCCAAAGCAGTCGCCAGATGGAACTAGTCCATTTTCAGGAACATTGGTTCATGTGTCCCTCTCTGACAAGAACCCCCTTCATACATTTAGACAAAGCCTATCCATCCTCAATGGCTCACTCCAACTATAATATTTTGTCCTCAACAATCCTCACTCCCTACCGCACACTTTCCAAGGACTTGCTGCCGCTTCTTCATGAGACTCAACTCACTGAACAATGAACAGAAGAACTGGATCTTAGTGGTCTATTTTTCCATGCTTCGAACAAGTCTCGCTTCTCTCAGGTGCTTCGTTCAAATTTATTGAGTGAATTTATATGTCAGCTCATCTCCTCTGACATGACAATAAAAATGAAGTTATATTAGAAATTGTTTTTTATTAAATGGAATTCCATTCTCAATCCAGCCAGGTCCAACTCAGGAAAGAAACTATGCTCATGTTTTTGTAGTCCTATGCACAAAGGCAGATGGGAAATGGGAAATGAGAAACGATTCCAGACTCCTGTTCTACTGGGTGGATTCAGGGCCATTGTCCATGGACTTCACTTCCTACTGTGTGATGAGGGGAAAGCTGTCTGCTGTCCAGTATCCTTCAGTACTGAAGTTCACAATGTAAAGACTATTCCCATGTTTCCTACATGAGTTAGAAACTGCAAGGAAGATATTTCAAGTTACTTTTAAATAATGACCTTTGACTTTCATAGAACTCACAGTAGATTAAGCCCCCAAAACCCCCAGAAAAGGCTAAGCAAAATCATAAAACATTGGAAACTAAAGATTCTACTGTGTAGAGCCATGTGTTTTATCTGCTCAGAAGAGAGCGTGGGAAAGGAGGAGGAGCACAGGTGAAGGAAATCAAAGAAGAGTAATACAAGGCCTGCCTTGGAGAAGGCACAGAACAGACATCCATCTCTGGTCAGAAAAGGGAGGGAAGTACAATTGACCTTTATCAAACAGGTTGATGTGGCAGGATCAATGAGCTGTTCTTCAGAAGAAGAAAGGAGGAGGAAACATTTATTTAGGGCCAATAAAAAGTATTCCTACAACAGATATTTTAGCCATATGATGATTTACCCCAAGACAAAATTCAGGCTACAATATGAATTCTTTCAAGAAGAGTCGATGTACATCTCATGAAAACAAGTCAGAAGAACATAAGTGTTATGGAGCTACCTTAAAAATAAGAACTCTGTGATGAAACAGGAAGTCATCATAAAACATTTTGCTGCATACCTAAATATCAAGCTGTTTCGAGAACAAGCACTCATGCAACTGAATGTTGTACTATGAACTCAGTGAGGTACATTTTTCACAGGACAGCATTTTTACTTCAAAAAAAAAAAAGAAAGAGAGAGAGAGAGAGACAAGCTATAGTTATTTACGATGATGAACCTGACCTGTAGTTTCTCCAGAAAGAGCAAAATGAGTCTGATGCTTCCATAAAGACCAACAACACATGTTGCCAATGACAAAACTTGACCTTTCAAGCAAAATTTCGAATTATGGAAAACTGCTTTCCAATACTTAAAGATAGACTATATTTTAAAAAAGGAGTCTTTTCTGTTGTTGCGAAATGGTATAAGGTTTTGGAAACAGATCCAGCTTACATTCGTAGCACTTTGTAAGTTTTGGTTTTCACTTTTCTTATTGGGATTTAGTGACTTTTTTCAAATCACAAGACCTATACAGGTAATTTAAATCATATCAACATAATTGCTTGTAAGGCAACTGCCAAACTTGTTCTATCAGTGATAATCCTATAGTTGTTATTAAGAATTCAAATTAGAAAATGCATTAGTATTTCAATTAATTTTAAGAATCTATAGAAAATATTAATGCACTAACAAAGATAAATAAAAGCCGGAATTCTGATTTCCTATGGTTAGCTTTTTGAGTAACGTAACTTTAACATCCTACTCAAAACACCAAAACATCAAGAAAGTGGTTATCTAAGTGCAAAGAAACTTTTTCCTCCAAAATCTTTGAAAGTTAAGTGCCTTGAAAAATAACTCCACTCAAAGTTGTCCAACTTTTAAAGAGTTACACAAGCAAATAAAATTGCTATAGAATGAGGAGTTCATTTACAACAGTTCCAAAATGGCAAAGGATTTTAAGCAAAGCCTTTGCTGAATAGCTTGGCTAATATCAAACGAGCTATTACCTCTGTGACTCCTACTACACACTGCAAGGGGTGCTTTGTTTTTTGTTTTCTTTTAGCCTAAGGAAAAAACTCCATAAAAAGAAAATAGTGTTTAAATAGTTTTTCAAACTTCACCCCGAAACTTCTTTCGGGATATGTCAAGGTTGCAATTACTCTTCTCATGCATCATTACTTGATCTTACTTGCATTAAAAAATTTAACAAAGAAAAAGTCACATAGTCGTTTTAAGAACTACAATAGCCTGCCTGAGGCGTGCTTCTTCCTTCCCTGTAATTTATTACTATATTACACCCAAGACAATGCTGTTCATAATGCCACCTCAAAATTCTGCAGGTGTTTTCACTCTGAAAGAGGCATTACATTTTTTAGCTAACTCAGGAGAGACATGGCAATGGCTGGAAAGACCGCTGGTGTCTAACAGGGAATGACAGGTGATACATACTGCTACTAAGTAATTTAACTTGAAATATATCATAGTGAGGAAAAACTGAAGCATTTTGAAACAGGATGTATTTTAATATCCACATGAAATTCCTCTGTGTCATTTATTAGCCATGCCACATTGGCTCCTTTTCAACCAAAGGGGGTGAGGAATTAGGATGTTTAATAAAGAAGTGCATCTTGATCGAAAGGCAAAACAATGATAAAAATTTAAACTACTCCTAGCCTTACATAATTGTTATTTTAATCACTACTGTACCTTAGAAATCATCCTCACGGGGTAGCAGAGGCAATCTCCCCTCGAAGGCAAACCCAAGACGAAGCATGGTTTTTACAAGACAACTTTCCGCCTAAAAAATCCCTCAAGCATAGCACAAATATTCATTGACCCCATTCTAAAAAGAGTGACCTAGAACATGAGAATAGGTACATTCTTGAACTCAATCATGCTGCCTGCTGCTGGTTTCTCCTTTTTTTTTTTTTTACAACCAGATATTACAGCTAAGGGTGTTCGAATAAAACTAGGATTAAACACTGAGCGTAAGCTTAAAGACTTGATATTAACTGGATAAAGCAGTCGTACATACTCAGGAAAGCGACCAGGACATCCGGGCCATTGCATTTAATTTGGCAATGTTTATTTAAGTTACTCGAACGTGCATTAACACAAGTCAAAGACCAAAGCCATGCCCCGAAGCAGTTGGTTTGACAAGTCTAAAATAACAAGGTTTTAAAATGTTTTGTGCGGACCCCAGTTTAAAACAGCTTCTAAACCCCCAAAGTAACACCGTTAAGAGCCTGCGTTTCCTTCGTGGCGACCGTGGGAGTGAGGGTGTGTCTTGGTGCTTACCGATGCCCGGAGCCACATAGATGAAGTAGAGACAAGACGACGAGAGGGAGAAAAAGAAGATGAAGGCGAGGAGGGAGCGATTGGAGACCCGCATCATCCGCCGGAGCACAGACATCTTCCTCTTCCCCGCTGCAGCTCGGGCTGCGCTCTCAGGCCGGACTGGGGGCCACTGTCCAGGCCCTAAACTTCCATGAAGGTGCTAAGAACCCCGAGACTGCAGCGGGGTGCGTGCAGGGAGGTTCTGAGGTCAGGGCCCGAGGGGGAAGGAGGAAAGGGGAAGGAGCAGAATGAATGGGAACACGGCGAGCGGGGGAGGGCAGGCGCGAGAGGACGAGGGGAAGGGGTGGAGGGGGAAGAGGGGAAGCGGGGCGAGAAACCCAGGGGCTGGAGGGCCTGCGGAGGCCGAGGCCGCGCGTTTTAGCCGCCGGGCAGCGGCGGGAGG